TTTACATTAAAATAAGTAAAGTGCCATCCCTACGTAGCGGCACTTCTTTGTATCTTTCCCATTAATCAATTAATTTACTGAAGCACTCTAGCCTCTAGGGTTGGACTGGCAGTAAGAGATCCGGGAAAGATAAAGATGCAGGGCTGCCTTACATATAAAAATTTTTTTTTTTTTGGATTGATGCATTCCGATTTTGTTATTATTTTTTTTTTTTAGGTTCCTTTTCATTTGCGTCCCTTGGATATCTAAGTTAAACCCTTAATCACAGATTTTTTTTTTAAAAAGGGTATAGGAAAATAAAAATTAATGCATATTTACAATAATTAGTTATTATTAGTTTAGAAATAGCAGTGGTCCGGACCTTTAGACATAGTAGGGGCCCAGAGAAAACACCCCCAAAATCTCTCGCCAGTCCGACCCTGCTAGCCTCTAACTCTTATTCCCGCACTTTATCCCCGCATTTCATCTGTTGAAAGTTACCGCATTTTAGCATTCTGCTTCTGTATTTTAACAATGCCCAAATTTCGATCGAATTTTCAGAGAATAACTTCGTTGTTTCGTTTGTTTTCGTTGTTTTCGTAACTTTAATCTTAAGATTAAAGGTATGAAAACAACGAAAAGGTTTTTACCATGTTTATATTCCAGATCTTTTTTTACCAAATTTATATTTTAGATCATTTTTGAAAATAATTTAAAAGTTTCAAGGCAAATAGTTAACATAAAATCATCATTAACCATGGTTACATGTCTTTTGTTACTAAATTTAATTTAAGTTTGTATTGAAAAATCAGTCTTTCATACTTATTTAAACTTTAATTATACATTTAACGTGTTGTAATGTGTTTTTATTCTTTTTTAATTTTATTTAGGTGCCCCTTGAAGTCCTAAAAGTTATTACAGAGCACCGTGAATGAGTATTTCATTGGAAGTTCAAGCCTCCTTCCTAACCAATGTCGAAAAACTTTTCGACATTGTTTGGACGCTTTTATTGTTATTTGGGCACTAGATAGTTTAACGGTGCCCGTGACGCTCGTTTTCAGCAGTCATTTATGTATATAAATTTTATTTATTTTGAGAAATGAAGTAAAGCTATATGACGACAAGCGATATTCAGTAAATAAAATAGAAACAGAATCAATACTTATATATTAGTCTGACTTTGATCAGGTGCGGTTTGAACCACGGATTTTTTGCTTCTCGGGCAAGTGCGCAACCACTAAGCCATGGTTTTTCAAATCTAATCTGTTAGCTGTCATATTGTTAGCTTTTTCAATAATAATAACCAAATAATTTACTACACCAAACTTATTCAAATCCATGCATACCAAATTACTATAATATCTACGCCAAAATTAACCTTATTAAAAAATTGTACTAACTCCGGCTATTCATAAAAGTTTAAACAACTCTAGTTGCCCATTCGCTTGTCACAGCTTAACAACAAATGTTTTACATTTAATACGTTGACAAAAATAGCCCTAGATTTAAAGAGAAGTGTCTCAATAAACTTAAAATAGTTTTTTTGCCGTTTCATATATTTACAATAAACATATATTACAGTTAATCCTACGGTTCAATTTTATATTTGAAAAAACGGAGCCAGGTGTAAAAATGCATATTAATAATATGCATTTTTAAATATAAAAAATTAATGATTATTTTTTATGATTATTTGAATAAATATAATAATAATAGTTATTAATAATCACAAAAAAATATGAAAAATAATAACTATAATGTTTATGATACATTAAATGTTTTAGCAACATTTCTTTTAGTACGCAAAGTTACAATAAGTTATAAAACATCAAAAACAGCGTCGTACTAATTTTTCTTATTTTGGTCTAATTTGTATAATTTGTATGGTCTAATTTGTGTAGACCGTTTTGTGATATTTTGGTCTAATTTGTATAGACTGTCATCAGACGTAAAATACCAATTTAAAAACCGTTACAAAATAAAATATTTAAAATCATAAAGTCATACCGTCAACAAAAACTGTTTTTTTTTAATGATTTTTATATTAATTAATTTCAAGCGGTTCCTTTCATGATAGTTGTTATTGCAATGCTTAGTTGCTTCAGAAGCATGCCAATTGCCATTCACGTTGTTTGTATATGTGTTTGTATATATTTCTTTGCAAAATTGCAAAAAAAAGAATGAGAGCGCAAATAAATGTAGCTGTAGGACCTTAGACCATTAAAATCTATAGATGCGGCTTTTTCTAAAATTGTTGCAGCCATACTTTTTGCGCTTATGTAGTATAAAATGTTTAGGAAATTTCTTCTTATATAAAATAAAGGAATATATATATTTTTGGGGGGTATTTTATCTTACAGCCTAAATACATTAATCAATGATTTGTTCGTATAAAACGTTTTTGTAAAGCAATAAGTTTTTTACTTAAGGTGGTACCCCAAGAAATAAAGAGACGTAAACAGTTGAAAAATATTTAAAAAAAGGATACTTAAATAAAGTTAAGAAAACTAAAAAAATATCATATGAACTTGGAAGTTTTTATTTTAATATATTTATTCCAGAAATTATACATTTTTTTATGCTTTTTGAGTAATTTTAATTTTTATATCACAAAATCTCAAATATACTTTTTCACTAGTTTTTAAAGTTTGTGAAATGATAACTTTTTAAATAATTATGTAAAAGTTTTGAAATTTTCACAAATTGTTCTTCATATTGTTAAAATTCATTTAAGAAAAAAAAAATTTTCAATGCATTTTTGATCTTGAAATTTTGTTATATTAGGGTTGTTTAGCTCGCTTACTTTTTAGTGTCTCATGCATAATTTCTAAATTATTCTTTTTTTTTTTTCATTTCTTTTCTCTCAAATGAATTATGTCACCGTGATTAAAAAAAGTTCCAAATTTCATGCTAAAATGAAAAATAAATTTTGAGAAATTAATTCACAAAATTTCGGTTATTTTAAATTTTTTTGAAGTAATCGAGGCAAAGAAAAAAAATTATTTTAAATTATGTATTTATGTTGTAAAAATAAAAGTGTGCTCTATATTCAATCAGATTTTAGTATATTTCTTGGGGTACCATTAATTGAAAACACTCCATTTGAATAGACGGTAAAAATAACAAAAAATTTTATATATATTATTATTGACCTTAGATTAAAATACTTTTAGTTATTCAAAGTTCTTGAAAAATAACTTCAAAGTTATTTTTCAATATTTATTCCAATTCTTTCCTAGGTGGCAGAGTTGTTAGGCCTTGGCCTAGATCTTTGCCTTGGTTTTGAAACTGTTGACTTTGGCCTTGAACATTTTGGCCTTGGCCTTGGCCTTAAAAAAAAGTACATATTTTCTTATTGATTTTTGTTGAATTCTGCGCATAACCTTAGTCTATTTTTACAATATGTGGATTTATTGTCACAGCACTTGCTATTTACAGTTTTGTTAATAACTGGCTTAATGTAAGGCGAAAATTGAAGTACCAACAATAATAAAATTTAGATTCTTTTTTTCACGCTTTTATTGTTATTTGGGCACTAGATAGTTTAACGGTGCCCGTGACGCTCGTTTTCAGCAGTCATTTATGTATATAAATTTTATTTATTTTGAGAAATGAAGTAAAGCTATATGACGACAAGCGATATTCAGTAAATAAAATAGAAACAGAATCAATACTTATATATTAGTTGTACCTTATTTCAAGGTCACATGTCTCGGAGATTAGTCTGTTAAAACATTTATTAAGTTTTAGCACTAAAATAATTTTTTTTATTACAATAATAATATATTGTTATTGTATTATAAAGACGAATTACAATATAATATTTATTGTTTTTGTAGTGGTTCATTGCAATACATTTTTTTTTCAGATTTTGTTATTGTTTTATAAAGATAAGATGCAATACAATAATTATTGTTATTATATTATAGTATTACAATAGTTGTTAATCACAAGGATTGTTAATACAATAACAATAGTTATTGTTACTGCTATTGTTTTCATTACAATTACAATAGTCTTAACCCTAGTCTAAGTCCACTAAATAAAACAATCTTCCCCTACTTTCTTTCTAGATGATCTGGATCCACCAAACCTAAAAACTGTAAAAATTGCTCCCTACTTACAAGATGGTCATGATTCGCCTCTGATTCAAGATACCACAGAAATTTTTTTTTCGGATGTTATAAATAAAACACTCATCGTTATATCCTAAATCAGCGTCATCCGCACACTAACGTTAGAAACCCGAAATTAACGGACACTTGCATTAATATGCACTAAATTGATATTTAACAGACACTAACAGTGTCTGTTAAATATCAATAGTGTCAGTTATACATCAAGCGCTTGATTAGTGAATTGTAAAGTGCAAAAATTTTAAGCGCGATGCGACATTGGCAAACATGCATACAGAAGTAACATGTAAAAGGTTATATAGGGTTCTATCTGCCTTTTATTTTGCGAGAACTTTTAACATTTTATTTTCAAAAGTTTTTACAGCCGTTATTTTTTCATAATTACAAACAACTTGTGTCATTTATGTTTTGTGATTAAACTTATAGTATGATTTATATAATTTTTATGTTTGTTTTTGTTATTTATTTATTTTTATTATTATTATCTTAATTATTAAATTCCTATAACATAAAAAAAAGCAAGTTAGAACTAATTCTCATGAGACGATATATATACGATATATTTAAATGCTACTTATAACTTTTTTTTTTGCAAAAAAAAAAATTCAACAAAACTCATAAATATTTCATTAGACTATTTTATTTTAACTTTTCTATTAATTTTTGAAGTTATATTAAAAAAAGAAACTATTTTGCCAGTTTTTATTTGCAATTCGTTAATAGATAATTTAGCGTGTCAAATAAAAGTTTAAATTGAATTTCAAGTGAAACGTTTGAACTTTTTTTTTTTTTAATAAATTGACAAAAATTTTTTAGCTCTACTATTTTATTATCAAGTTACATCAAATGAAAACTGTGAGTAAAAACCAAAGTGAGATAATAGAGTTAAAAAATATATCATAAAAAAAGACTTCTCAAAAAAAGTTCATAAATACAACGTTAATAAATCTTTTTTAAACCATAGTACACGTCATAACCCAACTAGCCCACTTTTATCAGATCTTATGTAACATTAGATCGCTAGTTAAACAAAATATTTAACATAAAATTCTTTAAATTACAATTAGCAACTGCTGCTGAGAAAACTTTTTTTACTTTTATATAATCAAAACGATAAAGAAAGATGCAAATGATACCAGGAGCGAAGCTAAAATTAAAAATTTATAATAGTAAAAAATTATTAACTACGCATCGTCAATAACATTGTTTATAAGTTTAACTATAAAAAAGATACCTTTGCAATTTAATCCTGATGAATTAGGCAGAGCATTAGCATTACTATTGGAATTATTGCTTACAAAAGCACTATTAGTAGCAAAAATACTAGAGTTAACTTTAATTGATGGTGAAATACTGAAAGTGGAATTCAAAAGAGTATTCGCAACAGAGTTACTCGTTTGAGCTATTGAAACACTTGTTGCAAAAGAGACATTTGTCATACCAGAGATACTTGTCATATTATACATGCTTGAAGACATGGCATTAAGTATATCAGTATTAAACACGGGGTATGAAGGTATTGACAAAAGAATCGAAGAAGCAATGATAATAGCTGTAAAAAAAAAGGAAACTCATTATAAACGTCTTATAAACAAATTAAGTACAAATAAATTTAAAATAATTCATTAAATTTGTCTCGTTTTTATCTTAAATGAATATTTATAATTGCAATAAATTACAACAAACTTTGAATAAATTTTATAAATGTGTTATCAGCTTTTTCACCACGAGACTAAATTTACTATCTAATAATTTATTCCTTCTAATCATTACATAAAATCAGCAACATAAAATCAGCAACATAAAATCAGCAACATAAAATCAGCAATAACAAATGATAATTGTAGCTATTACAGCAATAAAAGAAATGATATTGAAATGATAATGTGAAGAATGATGTAAAACAAAATTAAAAAAAAAAAAAGAGTTTTGTAGAAACTACATTCAACGCTGAATATTGTATGGAATATATTTTCTGCATAAACACCTTATGTAGGTAAGTCAAAAAAGAAGATAAAAAATATTTTTCGGTGGTAGAGATAATAAAAAATTGATTGCATGTGAAGAATAAAAATTTACACTTTTATGAACACAATGTTTTAGCTTTTTATTTTTTATTACCAAATTCATATTCAACAAGACCAGTATTTGAGTAAGGAATTAAGTTGGGAGACTAGAAAATAGAAAGTAAAGAAGAAGAAAAGTTAGAGAACAAAAAAAAAAAAAAAAAAAAGAGCAGAAGATCAAAAAAAACAACAACTGTAAATTGTACAATTAAGAAAAACATGTAATTAAGAAATATAAAAATATAGACTTCGACAAATATAAAAGCATAGGTTTTTAAGTTTATTGTCAGCAAGTGTAAAGTTACTGGTTTCAGACTATTCAGTATGATGATGACATTAAAGTCATCTAATCTGCCATACTATTTTTTTTTAACATAACAATGGTTAGACATTTGTCAGAATGGTTTTTAGAAATTAATAAAAACCATCCTACAACTTTTGTTTACCAACTTTAGGCATAATTTTTTTGATTTTTTATTTTTTCAACACCCTAAGGCTGAAGGGGACACATGTTTTTAATTGTTGTTACAACTTTCTTTCAACCCTTTATTTACAAAACTGCTACACTCAGAAAAACAATTGAAAACTTTAAAAACCTGAGAATAATAATCGAAAACAAGTTGAATTAAAAACATATGTATATTATAGCTAAACAAAACTCAACAAAAATGCACAAAAAAACAATAATAATGCTAACCCTAATAACAGCGACAACAAATTATAAACCAAAATTTAAATAATTTAGCAATAAAATAAATGTTAGCAATAAAGGGTATCAAAAATTTTTCAAAACTCACATGGTTTAGGGTTCAAAGTCCAATTTATAACATTTTGAGATATAATCTTGTTATCATGGTATGCAAGCAGACCATCATCTAAAACAAAATTGCTTAATTTAAATCATTATACATTTTTGAATAATAATGGACGCTGTTTCTATCATTATTGCCCTCATGCCATCATCATCAACACCAATATCATCATTATAATCATTATCATCATTGAACACATTTTTAAAACATTAAAAACAAATATCATACTACTCAGAGTACTTCCATATGCCAAAGTACCATCATATAGTGTATCATTAAGTGGAAGTAAACTATCTACATAAGTACCAACATCCAGTGGGCGTGAGTACCTTAAAATTATATATATAAAAATTCAGTACATAAATCATTTTTAAAATAACCATTATTTTCCAGTTGCACATATATATACATACATATATATACATACATATATATATATATATATATATATATATATATATATATATATATATATATATATATATATATATATATATATATATATATGAATATATATATGAATAAATATATATATATGTATATACATATATATAAATATATATATGTTTACATATATA